ATGGACACCGATGCAGACAGCATCAGATATCAAAATGGTGGAGCATTGCTCAAACTCTTATAGCCTCTGGTGCCTCCACCTTATCATAAAAGCCTAAACATTCACATGCTTTTCTCTCACACGGCGCCTAAGCTACGACCTTGGCTCCCCGTTTATCTGCTCCTGCTGAGTTGGGGCAGAAAACTCCAGCATGCTCTGTTCTCTTCTAATCAGACAAATAAGGCGATGACTTTCTGCAGCAGTATTATGCATCATAAAACAATATCATTCATCCACAATAAATCAGCAGTCTAATGTAATGCAAATCAGTTTAACTAATGCAATAGTTATCAGCTTCTTCTAATTCAGGAGAATAATGCAAACTAAAACTACATAATAATTCACAATCTTTAGTTAGGGGTATAACATGGCATAAAATAATATTATAATCTAACAGTATGCTGCTGCCTCTCTCTCATGTTACTTAAAAAATTAACCCCACAGCTTCAATAACCGTATCTAAAAATCTCTCAGTGAAAGTTACGGTTGTAGGTTTGGAAACATTTTGGGGTAGCCAGTGTTAAATAGAGACAGGGCCACATTCTTTATCTAGTCATTGTAATGAAAGAAGCACATTAAAAACTATATGAGAGTTTGCTTTTAACAAGCATGTAATGACTCTACTTAGTTTAGGTAGTCTTAGGGAGTCAAACTGAAAGTAGCATTTTGTGGATGTTTTCCCTGCTGCCCGATCCCATCAGTCTCTTAAAGCATCATTTTTATGCGCCCTGGTGTGAAAGTGGTTTCATGGCGCTACAGGTTACCTGAGCACATCAGGTATATTACGGTTGAAAACGAGTGCCCGGCCTTCCAGTGGGTGTTCGACCCCTCGTGCACAGCTCAGGAGTCTAAACGACCCAACAGTTATGGACATGTGTGTTTTTGGTGTGCTGTCCCTCGTTCTCCCTGCTTGCAGGTATATCTGTGTGTGTGTGTGGATGCCGGAGTTTCTGAGAGCACCTGTTTACAGGCACCTTCAGGCCTGGTGGGTGTGGCCCTGCCAGGTGGTTGGCCACACTTGAAGACCATCACACAGCTGATCAAGCCTTGTCAGAGGAGCTACTTGAGAATGCGGTGGCGCTCTCTCTGACGCTGGATCATTGCGTGACTTCACGTTAGTCTCTCGGCCAGTCAGTACGGATAGTCTGCCGCATTGTTTTGTCTTACGGCTGCCTGTTTGTTATCTCCCCAGGAGAAGCGTGGAGATGAGAGGGCAGCGAGCACGGGGTGCTCAGACACTGAGGAGCGGAGACAAGGAACACTAGCACTGGGAAGAGGACATTTCACGGGAGTCGGGAACGCACTGCGGATTTATTGTTATTTTCCATTCACTGTAAATAAACGCACTGCTTGCATTCAGAGCTCCGTGCCTGGCTCCTCCTTCCTCACATCCCCACGGTTGACGCTGGCCAACCGTGACAAATAGTTTTTCTTAGATTCATTATTAGTTCAACATTGACAAATAGTAGTTGACTAATATCAGGAGCCAAAAAGAAAACAAAAAACAAACTAAATAAATATTTCAGACGCTGAAAATAAATTATTACGGTTGTTTAAATTTGCTGTCAGCAAGTTAGGTCTAATGCATGTAGTCAATCTAATGAATCAATATTACATGTAAAAAGTACAGAACTGAAAATGAAACTAAAATATAACGGTAAATGAACTGGTTCTTGTATAAAACCTTTCTACTCTCTACAACTTGCCTCATTCATGCACTCACTTTTTTCTATGCTTTTCTCTGTAAGTGCTTTCTATCTAACATTAATACGCATTCATCCTCCCGATGGATGCATCGGAGAGCAACTTGGGGTTAGCGTCTTGCCCAAGGATATTTGGCATGCAGGCTGGAGCAGGCGGGGATTGAACCAGCAACTTTCTGATTAGTAGGTTTCCTGCTCTACCTGAGCTACAGACACCCCAATTTGTGGTGCTCTGGAAACAACACGTTCTCATCCCAACAGGTAACGATGCTATGTGACAAATCATCGGTATGTGTAAATGTGTTTTTTGTTCTAATCATGAATCGCTTTGTAAAACAAGACCTGATAGGGTTAAGGTTAAAGTTATGGTTAGAGTTAATGTTAGGGATAGGGCTGGAATGGACGGCTGGAGCCTCTCCTCCAAGTGTGTGTTACTGCCGCCATCAGCATTCTGTTGTATTCTGTTGTCTGCTTTTCTCTGTAAGCGCTTCGAGCCTGTACTTTTTTGCTTTAGCTGAGTAATGAAGTTGAATCAGTACTTTAACTTTCACTGGAACAATAGTATTTTTACTTCTACTTAAGTGGAGAATGTCTGATCTTTTGCCAACTCTGGCTGTCTCTCAGTCTTGGAATACCCACTTGTTGTCCAGCGGTGTCCTGGGAATATGGGAACTAGACAGACTGGGGAAACAATGGGAGGAGACACAAAGATGGAATCACTTTTACCATCTTTTATGTATTTGCTGGTCGTCTTATTTCTTCTATTTTGCAAGCACAGTGTTGCAATCATTGTCTTTGTGGTACAATGACACAGGTAGAATGCAGGTGTTTTCATGTAACACGATGCCAGAAAGATGAGTAATGTGTTTTGAAGAGAAGATAAAACATCATGTTTGAACAAAGATAAGCAGCAGACACGTCTGTGTGTGAGTTGTTCAGGTTCAGTAAGAAGGTAATATGTCTGCAGAATTTGTAATTCTTATGAAGATATTGCTTGTACAATAAATAAAATCCCTTTAACTTCTTCTGGAGAGTGTCTTTATATATTTAGTCATTTTGGGGCGATCCTTTATTTAGTAGTAACTCTAGTCGGGGATATATATCAGAGTTTACTTTCAGATATGAGCATTGTGTTTCCTGTGGATGAATGAATGAATTATTTATTTATGTAATTTTTGAAAGACTGGCTCATGTAAAATCTCTGAAAGTATGACAAAGCTCTCCTGTTACACTTTATGGACACCTGAGCGTCACCATGAGGGCCTGTCTTTATTCACTTTATTCACTGAAATCCACTTTTATAATGAATTCACAGTAATCACTGACACCTTCAGAGCATTACATTCATTAAAGACGTCTTCTACACCTACTCTTCCAGACGACCGACACATACTTCAACCACTGCAGGTTAACCAGCCACTCATCAGTAAAGCAAAAACTAAATGTAAATGTCCTCATGTGGAAAAGACTGAAACACAACTCCCATATATCACTAATGTAACAGATCCATTTAGGGAGAGTGAGAACACTAGGCTGGATGTGTTTAATGCAGGAACATTCATCATGTCTTCAGTTCAACAAATCATTTACATTGAATATGTGAGCTGGATGGTTACACGACACAATGTGATTGTCAACAATAACTGCAATGAACGCTGGTTTGAGGGCGGAGTCAAGGAGGCCATTTACGTGAAAAGAGAAAGACCCTCTCTGAATCAAGGAGGGGGCCTAAGGGTACATCTGTCACCATCTTACAATGCTGTGATTGCAGCCGTTCTCCAACTCTCTGTGAATGGTACTCAGGACCATTGATCAGTGGTTGTTGATCAATGGTCATGAGAATTTGCATAATCATGATTAAGGAACTGACCTCCCAGCCCATTGTTCCTTCAGTCGGCTGGTTTCTCTGACTGAAAACGCTACGTCCAGAAGAACAGAATCAACTTTTGGAGATTTACTTCCCTGATGATTGAGCACGCATCAAGACCTTTTAATCAGGCCAACAAATATCTTGTACTCAATTTTAGCAGCAGCCATTGTGACACTGATGATAAAACTTGTGTAAAAGTGCGAAGCTGTAAAAAAGTAATTATAAAAAAGCGTTTTTGTAGCTGAATGTTACTGGATAGCTGTTTCATCTGTAACACATCAAAATAACCTGCTAAGGTTTAATAGGCTATAAGGAACACACTCACTTCCTGCACCCTGGGCAATAAGAGACGTTTTGTGTTTTATAATTTATTGATATGTTTGATCCTTTCTGACCTGCGTTAATGAAGCAGTCATTAGAGCACCATGTCCGCTAGAATAGTTCTGTAGTTTGATGCTTGAGTCGTTGCAGACTTGTTGAAACTCCCTCACCCGTTAAAGCAGCGTCTTTGTTATTCGAGTCCAGCAGATGGCAGTGTTTCACTGTCTGACGGCTGTCTGAAGCTTCAGCTGGATTATCCGTTTTCATGTTTGATTAGAGGTTTGTGTGTGTGTGTGTGTGTGTGGGTTTTTAGCCACGAGTTGTCCACGATAAAGCATATTGAATGGCCTGTCTAATATTGTTAGAATTCTCCTTTGGGTTAGTTTCATTACTCAATCGGGACATTTATTTGGAAAAAGAAAAAAAGAGGGAAAAAAAAGAAAAAAAAGAAAAGAATTAAAAATAAATAAATCCTCATAGTTTACATTTACAAATATCAATACTGAATGTTACATCCCTCTGCAGCTTCTAATCGTCTCAGTGTTTTCAGCTGGTGCTAATTGGCCACACCTAGTCAGGTGTGGATAAAAGCATACCTGAGGCAAGCTTCCCGGCAGTGCACTAGTCTTTGCCTTGGTGGCACCAGCCATTTTAGCCAACCTGGTTTTCCATTTTAGGATGAAACCTCTTCTCACCCACACGCTGTTATTCATCTCTGTTTTTATGTTGCGGCTTTTGAGCCGGGTCGTAACATGAGTATAATCACACTGGAAGTACCAGCATCAGGAATTTGGTTTCTTGTTTTTGGATCTATAATATTTAGTCTGGTTAGTTATTGTTACTGTAACCAGTGCAAAATCTGCTCTGATGACTCAACGTTAATGTTTGAGCCCCTGAGCGCTAAAAGAAGTGTTTTGTAAAGTATTAAAACTACCTTTAATGGAAGGAAAAACGGATCACTGCTTCCTATAAGAGTTGGTTTTCTCTGTGTGTGTAGCCACTCTGTGCAGTGAGCGAATGGTGAAGAGCCAGTCTCAGGGTGACCATTTCAAAGAGATGACTGCCATCAACAGCTCACTGTCCAACCTGGGCGTCGTTATCGCCGCTCTGGCCAAAAAGGTCTGCAGCTGCAGTTTCTGTAGTCTTAGATGTCACACCTGCTTTCTTTACATTTACAGTATTAATGATTTTTTTGGCCTTTGTGTTCCAGGAGACTTGCGTAGCTTACAGGAACTCGAAGCTCACGTACCTCCTGCAGGGATGTTTGGGGGGGAAACGGCAAAACGTGAGTTTGTTGACATCACAAATCTTTATAATGACGACACATAAAACTGAAGGAATTTATCCCCAAAAAATATTTAACAGCGTTTGATCTCATCACTTCAGATTGTGACTGTTTATTCTTTGGCACTAATTTTGGATGTCTTTATTTGCAGCTTGATGTTTGTTAACATTGCTCCGGAGCCCGACAGCTTTGGGGAAACTCTGAACTCATTGAGGTTTGCCAGCAAGGTCAGTGCAGTCTTGTTTCCAGTGTTCATTGGACAGAGTACATTAATGATGTCCTTACATCAGCTGTTTATGGTAAACCAAAGCCATACTCCATATCCATTTTAATACCTTGGTGTGTAATTCATACTCACATTTTGTCTGAAGAGTAGGGATGTTCCTGGCGTCTTATTTACTAGTCGACTAATCGAGGGGGAAATAATTAGACTAACCAACTAATGTAAAACTAAGGAACATTCAGATATTGAGTTGATTTTCAGAACTGATTAATAGAAACTGTCAAACTAGACGCAGAGGTATCTTAAACCATTTATCACATTCTGTTAAATACAAATGAAAATGCATTACTACAAAAGATGTTCTATTAAAATATGACAATCATTTGAGAATCTAAAAGTACGTCTAAGTGTGGCGAGAATGATTCAGGTAATGCATTATACAGCCGTTTTCTAGTCAGGTTGTGGGGGCAGCAGGAAGGACTACTCCTGACCACAGCTGATAGATGTAAACTGGCTAGCATGACCAAGGATGCTGGGGCCTCCTACTGGTAGGACGTGCCCAGCTGGAACAGCCTCCTGGCCAAGGTGGCTGTCACCTTTTGATGTGAAGGAGTAGTGACTCTACTCTGAGCCCCTCCCCCATTGACTTAACTGCTCTCCTAAAGGAGAGGTTTTCCACCTCTCAGGAAACTAATTTCCTCTGCGTGTATCTGCGATCTCAGTGTTAACAAGAAGATCAGGGTAGATTAATAGATTTATGGCGTTTCTCAACAACAGTGCACCATCTGGTGGTAGATCGCTGCCTAACATTTAGAACACAATGTACCAGCATTGGGCATCAATTAAAATGTTAACAATTAGATTGAACGACTGGTAAGTCTGATACAGACTAGTGACAATTAGTCGACTAGTCACATAAATCCCTGATAGAGCCCACAGAAGTGGCCTGCACCATGTGCGTGGCTTGCTTTGCAGTTTAACCCTCAGTAGGACCTACAGCCATTTTTCATCCCCAGCGTTTTTTAATATTAGGCCATTTTCACTGTGTTGAATAGAATATAGCCAAACCTTCTGACCCTTTTTTTTTTCTTTTTTCTTTAGAATTGCAGTCTCCGTTTATTAGATTAGCTTAAAGTGGCTAAGCTACAAACCGCCATCCACATGAGGTCCTAGAGCCATAAATCGCCCCATTGAAACCCATTATAAACGCTATTTTTCACTGCAGAATTATTACCATTAACGTATGGGTGATGGCTTCTGTTTCGGTTCCGTGTTGGACAAGGGGCCTTAGAATTGTTATTTTTTTTATTTGGCCACCGGGTGGCGCCCTTGTTCCACATGTGACGCCTGCTGGAACAGACCTTTTCCAGCGGGCTGCTCGAGACATACACCCGGGAAAGGCAGACTCATTCCCCGAGTGCAGCAGCAGCTTGGCCCGCTGCTCGTTCGGGACCATTTTCTGCCCTTAGGGCTGTTAGAGGGTGCATTTTGACCTTTATATTTAAAAATAAATAAAATAAAGGTCTCTCTGCCTAAAAGAAAAAAAATTGTCTGTCTCATTCTAAGTTTAGATAAAAGCCTTCCCTCTTTGAAGTACACCCTGCAATGCAAACAAATCTAACATGAAAACAAGAATAAAAAACAAATTAGACTTTATTTTGTCGCCAACCTCAGCTTGTTTATGCAGGTGCAGGCAGGAGAGGTTATAAGAATAAGCCGTAGCGCGGGAGTAGGCATTTTCACGATGGCACGGCACCGAGGAAGTAGTGGACATCCTGATGCGCTCTGACAGCGAGGATCTCTCCTCTTCATCTGCCGAGAGTGACTCTGATTCCGGGGGTGACACGGATGATTCGTCTCTCGACACTGATCACCAGGAGTCGTCCTCTGATTCATCTTCTGAAGATGAGAACGAGGGGAGGACGCCGGAGGAAGCAGCGGCGTGGACCTCCAAAGATGGGAAGAAATGGTCCGCAACAAACGCCGAGACGCTGCGCTACGTCGCAGCACCCACGGGGCTTATTCCAGGACCGACCCACTACGCCGTAGCCCGAATTACGGACCCACTCTCCAGCTTCAGGTTGTACATAACTGATGGGATTATACAGCATATAGTTGCAATGACAAACCTTCAGGGCAGACGCTACATCTCATTCTGGAGAGATTTAGATAGCAACGAAATGCTCGCTTATGTGGGGCTGCTAATTTTGTCCGGTGTATACCGGTCAAAGCACGAGGCCATCGCCAGCCTTTGGAGTGAGAAAACGGGAAGGAAGATTTTCTGTGCCTCAGTGGCTGAGAAAAGATTTTGTCACATAACCAGAGCGCTCCGATTTGATGACAAACTCACCCGACCTGCACGACGTGCGGACAAATTGGCTCCCATTCGGCAGATATGGGACATGTGGGCACACCGCCTGGGGATGTTGTTTAGTCCAGACCGGACCTTACGGTGGATGAGCAGCTGGTACCGTTCAAGGGAAGGTGCAGTTTCCGCCAGTATATCCCCAAAAAGCTTGCGAAATGCGGCATAAAGGTCTGGGCAGCATGCGATGTCAAGACATCATACGCCTGGCGGCTGCAGGTTTACACCGGGAGAGCAGCGGGCGAACCGGCCGAGGTAAACCAGGGGATGAGGGTCGTCCAGCAGATGACTGACGGGCTCCATGGGCATGTCGTCACAGTCGACAATTTTTTTCACCTCATCTGAACTGGCAGAGGAACTCCTCAAAAATAAAATGGCTCTGGTCGGCACAATCCGCCAGAACAAAAAAGGAATCCCACCCGTTTTGCGCCAGATGAGAGGGAGAGCCGTCTACTCCTCGATCTTTGCCTTTTCAGCGAAACAGACCCTAGTGTCGTACATTCCCCGACGGGGCAGGAATGTGCTTTTATTGAGCACGAAACATCGCAGGCCGGAGGTCAGCGATGACGAGAGAAAAAGCCAGCGATCATCACAGACTACAATCGATGCAAAGGAGGTGTCGACAACCTTGATAAGGTGGGTGTCATTACGCATCAGTTACGCACACCTTTATTCATTTTTCTTCATATATTCTTGTGTAAAATATACAGAGGTTTTATGTTGTTGTTTTTATTTGTTATGTTTATTTTTTGTTAGGTTGTCGGCACCTACTCCTGCAGGAGACGGACCAATCGATGGCCAATGGCCCTTTTTCATCACATCATAGACGTCTCCCTCTACAACGCCTTCATGCTGTGGACCTCCGTGGATCAGGCCTGGCATCAGCAGAAGCCACACAGGAGGAGGATGTTCATTGAAGAGGTGGGAGAAGGCCTGATCACGCCCCATTTGTCACAAAGACAGCGTCTTCCCCGCTCATCAGCTGCTGCTGAGTTAGTAAGAGATGCGCAGGATGGTGCTGCTGCAGGCCCCTCTGGAGTGACAAATCCCAAGGGCAGGAAGCTCTGTGAGCTCTGTGTTGGGAAAAGGAGGCGAGTGGGAAACGCATGCAGCAAATGTGGAAAATTCAGCTGCCGAGCCCACAGCAAATTTGTCTGCAGCCACTGCTCTACCTGAGCAAGACATTTACCCCCCAGCCACACACACGCCCCCCACCCTCTCACTGCTTTCTCACTTTCTCACACTCTTTCTCTCATACATTTCCCCATTCCCAACAACAATATACATAATTACATTTACCATATACATGTTCTTGTTCGTTGTTGAAAAATAAATGTTTATTTGGTTCAAACTGATCTTGTATTTTTATTTACATAATGCTTTTTATTTGATTTTAGATGGCAACAAGGTAATATGCATTTATTGGGGCAAGAGTGAAAAACGTTCTCCTGCAAAAAAAACTAACGGCCGATCAAAATGAAGGTCAGTAGTAATTTTTAGACCATCCAAAGGCCTAATTAAAAGTACAATAAAATATAACTTTCAAATGTATTTTATGGAAAATATTTCATTTTTTCATTTTTTTGCCAAAAAAGGCAGTGTGCTCATGTGACAAAACCGGGATATAAAAGGTTAAAATCGCGAAATATAATTAAAACTTTATATGAATATTTCAAGGAGAAGTAGGTCTAAAATATTGGCTAATTTAAAGTGGAAAAATATTAATGTATAATCTTTTTATAGCACTTTTTATGGCGTGGTCGATTTTTGGCTCTAGGTCTTCATAAGGGGTACTTTTTTTTTTTTTTTTTTTTAGGACTTACCAAGGGTTAACCCCAAAACACTCGTCTGCAGTGGAATTTCTTTGAGCTAATCGATTCATTTCATCTTCTAATTAATGTGGAAAATGGTGGCAAAGGTGGATGAAATGAGTGATTCCTAGAGTTACATTTTATTGCCTTTTTTCTTTCCTTTTCTTAAAGTTATGAAGGCATCTTGGATGCCATTTCAGTGAGTGGGGGTTAATGCCCCACACTCTTTTCTGTCACTGCTTTGAATGCACAGACTGGTCTTAATGTTGATCTTTGTGATCTTCAGTGTTACGACCCGGCTCAAAAGCCGCAACATAAAAACAGAGATGAATAGCAGAGTGTGGGTGAGAAGAGGTTTCATCCTAAAATGGAAAACCAGGTCGGCTCAAATGTTCTGTGAGTCATAGGAGTCTACTAACATTTCCATGATAGAACAAGGCTGCAACCTTTGTACACTATATAAGGCAAAGAACTAATTAGCCTCATTTTGTTTTCATTCTGAGGCTTGTTTTTTTAGCACATACAAACAACTCTTCTTATGAGAATATTAGGACGCGTCTTGTATATATGATCGGCTCGCACATGGCCCGAAGATTGGTTTACCTTCTGCCATGTTGAGGCCAAAAACCCTGAGGACAGAAAAAAACAAAAAAAACCAAATGGTAGGTTGTCTCTGTGTGAGAGACGTTGGCATTATACCCGATATTTTTTTAAAAATGCAATGTGTGGATTTCTTTTACAGACAACATCTGCCATGTTGTGGACTGCTCAGAGTCTCCCCCTCCAGCACTGCTAATCCAGATGTTGGATCTGTGTTTCCACAAGCCCCGCGAATTCTAGAGACTTATTCATCATGAAGAAAACAAGACAGTCGATCGATCGATTATTTGCGCAAGGGAGGCCACCATGAAAATGACCTCTAGATCCTCCTCCTCCTGCTGCCTTTATTGAGAGACCGTTCACACAAAACACGTCAGAACAAAGCCACGCCCAGACAAGTGTTGTGTGTGTGTTGTGTGTGTGTGTGTGTGTGTGTGTGTGTGTCAGACCCTGCTGACCAAAGGGTCATAAACGCAGGAAGGTCACATCAAAAGAAGCACAAGGATGTGTCTGTGATAAAAGACTACAGCCCCCACCTTGATCCTCGAGAATCTGGGGGGAAGGACAGTGGAATTTC